GAACTGAGACACCAAGATGACAAATACTTTAATCCTTCTAATTCAAATATTTCAACACTAGAAAATACATACTCAAGTGGTGTACACTGACCAAAAAATATCATCTTAGTTAATGTTGTTTTTTACCAGCTAAGCATCCAGTCCAGTTATCTGAAACACATCAAATTGCTGACAAAATCCTGGTTCCTTCTCTCAGTTTGGACAGAGGAATCTCAGTCCCACAGAGACTGGGCTGGCTACTCGCATTGGAGCAGATGGACCAAAATGTTCCTGGTTATCCTCCACATTGGCTAAAAAAAAAAAAAGAAAAAGAAAAAAGACCTGAAACCTGTTTAGAGCCATGTTGTGCCTGATAGTACTTTATTGAGATGCTGATAAACAGAAGCTAAACCAGATCCTGGGAAGGATCTGGTGGGCAATTTCCCTGTTGGACATACTCTGCCACAAAAACACCAGGTCTTCACCTTCTGGACAAACAGTGGCAATCCTGTGTTCTACCCACAGCTACTCTTTTTCAGTGCTACAAGGACATTCCAAATGGACAGGATCACCTCAGGTTCAAAAAGGGAGTGTTCTTGTCAAGAACTCCCTTCTGTGTGTGTTGTGATTGTGGAGATGCCTGACAGCACTTCCTCAGCCGACGAATAACTTCCAGCCACAGCTCTGATGTACTTCTGTCACATGAAGTTCCAGCACTTGTGTGCAGAAATCCATTCATCTGGGGCTTCATTTTCAGGGCCAATTATCATCATCCATTACCAGTAAGTGTAGGTAAGATGCCTGAGTCTCTAAAACCCATTAAAATCAAGCAAAAGAGATGGCTTTCTCCAGATATGGCCTTAAATGTGACCACAGTTCAGCCTACTACACAGCAAAGGAAGGTTGAAAAGTAGCTACATTTGTGAAAATTTCTTGTGATAGTCACAAAACTTAAAGTAGCTGCTTATTTGACAATGTAGATCTCATCCACTACAATGATTTGTGGGGCAAGCACAGGACATCAACTTTTGTAAAAAATCCTGAAAGTCAATCGAATGCCTTTTTTTGAGGAAGAAGAGGCTGTATTAGCCAGGACACTATTATCTGTAATGCATTCATTTCCTCCATAATTGAAGTCATTAAAGTACAGATATTTGGACTTGTACTGGAACATCAGATTGGATTTTTAGCCTTTTACCAGTTTTACCTTTATGTGCTTTCTTAGGATCAATATGCATGTATTAAAGTAAAATACCCTGCTGTGGCTCATCCCCTGCACAGACTCTGTAAGCAGTGCTCCAGCAGTGTTGTACCTTCATTATATTTGCTATTACCATCTTAAGACTTGAATATCTAAGTGGGAAGAAAATTAATACAACAAACTGAGAGTAAGATCTTTCACATTTAGCAGGGCAGCCAATGAAAAAGGACTCTGCCCTCTGTTGAAGTTTAATCAAATGTCTAAGTTTTTTACATTTTATCAGCAGGTATTTAGAAGGACACTTTGTTGATGAATCAGATCAGGAATTCCTGATACTAATGTGTGTAAAAGCAGTTTTATGTCTTGTCAGTGTATTAAAAATTGGTGTCCCAATTATTCAGAAATTGAGACTACTAGATGACACCAATCTTTGTATGTGATATTTAGATATATTTTTCTGGCATATTATAATGAAGTGAGACTACTACCTAGCCCAGAAAACTAAGGAAAATCAATGAAATTGAATCAAACTAATTCATTAAATTGGATGAGTTAGTGCATTTTTTTGTGGATGATGACAATAAATCAATTCCCATATAGCATATTGTGTTTTCACTTCAGTGGTGTTTTCACACAGGTGGATGTCCTTAGCAGCAAACTGAATTCAGACTGTGATGACGAGAAGAGGATGTCAATCACACCGATCTCAGCCTGCCAAATTTCATTTACAGTTTATAGAGTCCCTTCACGTTTAAACCTGTGTATCTAAAATACAATGACTTTTGGTCTTCAGATTAGTTCTTTATCCATCTTTGACCCACTTCTGACTCACAGTAGTTATTCATCTCTTTTACACTATTTCTATTTGGCCTATCTTAATTTATAGGAAAGAAAAATGGAAAATAGAACACAAGAACATTTTGTGGAAATTGCTTGGCTCACGTCATCGTCAGTGTTTGCAAACTGACTGAAGCTGGTCAGTATACCCCCAATGCATGCATTTACTTTTCTTTTAATATACAGAGCTTTCTGTTTGGGAATCATAAGACCTGATCTCAATATATTTAGCCTAACAAGTATTACAGAACAGCCTTATGTTTTTGTATATGTATTGATGAGAATCTAACAATTCAGCCTGGTGATATAACATTATGTACCCTGCACAGCTTTCCATCTTAACCACAGCATCTCTGAGTGCTATTGACTCTTTGTGTTTTAATGAAGCTTTCATCTTTTTTGGTTTCAAGAGCATAACAGAATTCAAGTAGGAGACTGTTTAAGGAAGGCCAGATGAGAATGTGATTTCAACAAGTTCTTGTCAAAAATCATGTCTAATCTTTAAACGTTTTTTCATGTTTTCACCCAATTATTTCTTCATTATTTCTGCTGACTCTTGAGTTACCCAGCATGATCTGAGCAACTATCTGAAAGCCTTCATATTATTATTACTTCAGTCTCTTTGGATTCAAAATTGTGTTGAAGAGCATCAGATAAATATGAGGTATCCAGTATGGAATACCTCCTGCTGACAATAAGGAAAATCTATTGTTTGGAGAGTGATAGCATTGCTCTCCTGTCACGTTTGGTGCTTACCAGCTATTGGAACAACAAAGTTGTTCCAAAACCCAGGACAAGACTTGTGTTGGTGATCTTGAGGATCAGTCAGTCATAGCTATATGTCTATATAGTCATATTTATATCTCGCAGGAACATTTTCTTCAGTTTCTCCTTACTGAGCTTAGTACCAGTCTAAATACATGTGAGATCATCCCTCTGTAATGAAGGCATCACATAGCCATGATTTTGGAAAAAACTTAGTCTCCAGATCCTTTAAACCTTTGGTTCACTTCTGTCATTAACATTTTGTGAAAGTAATGCAGAATTCAGCCCACCCCACTTCAGAACTTGAAACCAAGGTCTAAGACAGATGTCTGCGGACTCGGGATAGTCAGCAGCAAGACATGAGAGGGTTGGGAGGGTCATGGACCCAATCCCACAACAGGTCTCTCAAAGAGGTGCCCCTCTCCTCTAACTGTAAGCGTCACCTTGAGGGTAGCACCATCTGCCTCATTTCAGATAGCTGACATTAGGTAGGATGTGTCCCTCCCTTCATGATCAAGATGTCTTTCATGTGGCTTGATAAAAGATGGGTAAATTAGATCTAATAAAAAGAGCTGCCCAGTGGCAGCTGGAACAATAATTTGTGAATCCCAGCCCTACATAACAGATGACTAGACTATGCTCCCTGTCATTATTTTTCTAATGGATTTTCTTTCTGAAGATAATCATGGTAGACTGAGAAGACTGTTTTGCATTTCTTATCTATGAAAATTAAGTTATGAGGGACTTTTCAAGATTTTACTATATAGAGTTTATGCCTCTTAATATGCTCATCTCAATAAAATACATGGTAGTCAAAGATGGCTCATGTACGATAAAAGGTAATTAGTAATTTATATAACTCACCATCGTACAAACCAAATCAGCTTCTATATAATGTCTAGACAGCACATTAGTGCTTGACCAGCCAACCCAAGAATATCTAACTGGGAAAGATAAAATGATCCCTGCTTTCTTGTTAGCACTTGCCCACTCTCATTTGTATTCTGGCAGATAAATCCCAAGTGTCAGGTTCTAAATATTCTAATCTGTCTGTTAAACAGAGCCTATATGAGGTTCCATTTCCATAAGTCACATTGAACTCAATATTTGTTCAGAACATTAACCTCAGAGAGATTTCAGATGTCCCTCAGGACTGTGTAAAATTAAGGCCTACTCTATTTACAGTATCATTATTTCAAATATATTGCTGACTAGTTCATAGTATACTTAACAGAAGACTGCTCAATGGATAAGGTAATGTGTCCTTAGACTGAACATAGCACTTCATGATGTAAATGGGCAGTCATGCAGATTGAGCCAAAAGCTTTGGTTCCAAGCATTCAAATTCTTGCTTTAAGCAGCCATCTTGTTAAGGGGCTGGCATGTTAAGGGGCTTTTCACACACCCTGGAATACCTTATGAAGTTTAGCATGGTGAAAGGAAGGTATTCGCTGAAAAGTATGTGAGTGTCCAAATCCACCCTGCAGGGCTTCTCTATGTGGCACAACACTGACAGCATCACCCAGCGCCAGGATCACGCATCTACAGTAACAGGGCTCTTTCTTTACTTTTACCTCTTAACTTCATTTATTAGTGCAAAAGCACTAGCTTGACATGGTTAGCGTTGACCAGATCCTTACCTTAAATCACTGGCACCACGGTGGATACCATGGCATTAAACACCGCAAAAATTTCCTTATCTAATTCTTGTTCACTAAGGCAATGTAACAATGGATTCTTTTTGTTCAGTGTCCAGAATAAAACCAAACAACAGGCAGATCAATATAGAATCATAGAATCATTAGGGCTAGAAAGGACCTTAAGATCATCTAGTTCCAACCCCCCTGCCGTGGGCAGTGACACCTCACACTAAACTATGTCACCCAAGGCTTCATCCAGCCTGGCCTTGAACACCACCAGGGATGGAGCATTCACAGCTTCCCTGGGCAACCCATTCCAATACCTCATCACCCTTACAGTAAAGAACTTCTTCCTTATATCCAATCTAAACTTCCCCTGTTTAAGTTTGAACCCATTACCCCTTGTCATATCACTACAGTCCCTAGTGAAGAATCCATCCCCAGCATCCTTGTAGGCCCCCTTCAGATACTGGAAGGCTGCTATGAGGTCTCCACACAGCCTTCTTTCCTTCAGGCTGAACAGCCCCAACTTTCTCAGCCTAATATGACAGATAGATAGACATTCCAGATCTTCTTACCTGGAGTTCTTGGTTGTGTTCATTGCCATCTGAAGGAAACACACATTTCAACCAAAAATGGGGCATGTGCTTTCTTGTACTTGCCATAAAAGCCTATTGGAAAACAGCAGGAGTCATAAGAGTCCAAGAGAAAAATGTACTGATTTTACCCAAGAGCCTATAATTATGGTCCTCACTTAGGAGACTACAGTTCTGTCCTGTACTCTCCCTCAAGCTAAATTTCTGTCACTCATAATTTTCCATCCGGTATGAAACATTTCTCCTTATTTATTCTCAGCAATAACACATTTTCAGGATTAATAAACAGTTTCATTAGGTAGTATTTTTTAGTGACGAAATGAAGACAACAAAACCCAGGACAAAGCCAGTAATCTGGGAAATGGGAGATACTAACAAAATATGATTGCAACTTACAAAAGGTTTAGATGCCCATCTGTAATTTTTCTCTTTACAAATCCTATGCACGCCTGTCAGTTGCAGAAAAGGGGTCTATCTTCATCTTCATGTGTCCTGTTGTAAATAATTAAAATTCATATGAAATAGTTTTTTTAATACTTCTAAGACTCAGAGGAAATAGTGGTAGCTTTCTCAGTCTCTGTAGGTAATGTCTGTATCTGGCTTTTGGGGGTCAGGAAAAAACTGTATCAGAATATCCTCATTCTGCTTGTGATTTGAAACTTGAATCTGGATCCAGATTCTGTTCCTTAGTCCCATCTTTGCAGATATTTGGAGGATATGGAGGAGAGAGGGGAAGTTAGCTATTGCACTGTTGCTTCCCACACATCCTATTCCTAATTTGGAAGGCTTCCTAAATTCATTACACAGGCAAAACTCCTACTTAAGTTATTTGTTTGCCTGTGCAGAGACAAAAAGAAAACAGATCAGGGAACAGAACTGTCCATTGCTGTAAATATGTCAGTTATTGGCTAGCTGAACATGTGTGCTTTTTCTCACTCATCAAGCAGAATTCCAGACAGATTTGAAAATTCAGGGAGAAGTTACAAGTCAAAACTTTCTCGCATAGTTAGTGACCACATAAGAATAGTTAGTACTGCCAAGGGCCAGTGGTTTTCTAGCTTGAATGTACCTTCAGGAGGAAAAGAAAATGTTTATAATGAAAAGAAAATGAATTAATCAGAACTTTAGCCTTCAGCTGTCAGCACCAGAATACAATGTCAATTGAAACAAGGGTTGCCTTTGACAAACCTCACCTGCTCCCATCAGCTCTATTTGCAGTGCCTTGCACACAGATCTTTGCAGGAACAGAGCAATGCCTATGCAAGGCTTGGTACTGATTTATTCCCAGAGCAATATTCATCTCATACGGTAAAAGAAGCTCATTTACCTGATAAGTCTTACAAGCCACCACTGTATTTAGGAAAAATATGATGTTCTCAGTTATTGCAGAAGATTAGCTAGGCTGCAGTGCCAAGGCTGTGATTGTGATTCTAGAGCCTGTAATTTGATTTATGCTGTTAAGACTAGGGAAGTATGAGGCTCAGGAAATGGTTCTGTTAATGCTTTGTGAGACATAGGGAGCCAGGCTGGCAACAGTCATCAACTATTCTAATTTGAAATGGAAAAGGATAATTTTATATTGGAAAGTTAAAAATATTTTGCTTTTTAAATAATTAATTTTTTGGAAGTGGGTGGTAAACTGGAACTGCTTGACATCATCATAAGTTTGGAGATGAACATGTCAGTTCAGATGCTCTGAACTAATGAATCCACCTGGGTAAGGCTTGCTTCCACATATATTGAAGATCATACTTGAAAGCTAAAGGTACATATAAAAATAGATGTATGAACCACACATCGTTTGTTTAGTGCAGATGGCTGCCACGTTGTTCCTTTCGTCTACATACCATGAACTATTAAGATAATCAGGTCTATACTTTATATTTTAAATAAAAAAGGGTTTGTAGCTTTTGTCAAACTAGTCCTGATAAGTTCATGATCTTTGGAACTTTTGGACTGTCATAAGGGACTGTCTGTGTTCCAGTTTACTCAAGTGAAGTATTAAGCATGGTTAGGAAGACCACTGCTTGTATACCAGTGGTTCTGCCACTGTGAAAGCTGAGGTGTGCAGTGCATGGGGCAGGGTTCTGCTAAATGAGATGATAGGTTACTTTTATAGTTAAGATGATTCTGGTTCCTTCGTTCTTACTGCTTCTTATGCATTAGTGGGCAGGTCACACCAGCCTTTGCACAGTCTTTTAATTGTGGGTTTCTTGGTTCATTAGTGCCTGGCCTGAGAGCAGCACGGTTCTAATTTAGAGAACTATGGCCAATATCAGGCACAGCTGAACTTAAAAGAGATGTTTTTAGACTATATTAACCACTGTACAAATGTTGCCTGTGCTGAAAAATCAGTCGTAGGGCGTCTCAAAATGACAGCTTAAAACTAGTATGTACTCTTAACTTTGATGTCTTTTTGCTTTAGTACTATATCTGAAAAAAGGTGCTGATACCTATCCCCTCACCTTACAGGTCAAGAAAATATATAAATAAAATTTTCAAATCATCTCATGGTTCTGTGTGTACCACAGAACATCCCAGGAGTGTGCCTATTATATTCAGGAGGTAGCTTCTCTGCTGAAGTGTACATAACATAGTAAGCAAGGAGAAAACAGAACATCAAGTGCTATATAATGCATGCACTGAATAAGATAGGAGGCATATGGAAAAAATTATATGTGCTCAAGTAATTAAAAACTTATTCTAATGCTTGAGGGAAAAGGGTAAATAAGGACAAAAAATAGAAACTACTAATTCTAGTATTTCTCAAGCTCTCAATGTTTGATATCTTTAAATATGTGCAATTCTTTCAGTGAAGCAGGGAGTGAGAGTGCGCAGGCATGCCTGCTTTCCACATTTCATACTGTTTTTTCTGCCCCATATTCCTTGCTGACATGTTACATTGATATCCCACCAGCTTCCCACTTCAAGGTAGCTGCATTGAAGCTTGGATGACAGTTAGCAGTAATTAAGCACAGACAGTACTTCTGCTCATTCACTAGATGTTGTTCTTTCTGCCTGCACCCAATTAACCTTCCCTCATGAGTCCAGAAAGCAAAGTGTATTGTAATTCTTGGGTCATTAAAAAATCCCATGACATTTTTTGTAAGAATAATTTTGTCCTGGCCCCATGTCCTGGCTAAATCCCAATTTGGTTTAATTACTTGAATTATCTGAGAACTGGACAAATGTATTCATTGTATATTTTACTCAAATGCCATGGAACACACTGAAGGACTTATTCAGAAATATATTTGTGAGTGATTCAGCTAGGCCTCTAATACTCAATACTTCAAAAGTATTGTAGAACTAGTCAAAAATGTTATCCAATCCTAATCAACTGGCTTCACTGGATCCTATCTATGAAATTCCCTCTGGAGTTTTATCTGAAAGATCCAATATATTTCTTCTTTAATGATTGTCTCCATTATTCCTGGAAAGATGTCAGTCCCAGGGAAAGTGATACTTTTATGGGAGTCTTACCAAGTAACATTTTCTTGCTGTTATCCTCCTTTATTCCATGAGCCATCTTAATAACTGCACACTAATTCTTAGCTATTTGTGTCACTCCCTGCATCTCACCAGCTCAACATGCTTTAAAGACTTCCTTACTTTAAGCAATGCATTGATTACAGCTGTTGACATTTCCAAATCCCATAGGAGGCCTTCCTATTCCAAGTGTGATCTGTGGGTGAGCTTGGACAAACCATTCATTTCTATACAGAGCATGAGAACAGTTCCAGGTCAAGGTTTGCAAAGAAGAACCAGTGTTCAATCAGGAGTTTTGTTGGTTTTATAAAACTCAGAAAATCTGCTACTTATTCTTAGCACTTTCTATTGGCATTTTGTCAGTTAACCACTTGGAGATATATAGACATTTCTAGAATTCTTTTATAAGATAGCATTGCCAACATTGGATAGTCAATGCACTGTGTTATTCCTTTTTTATGTTTTTACAGACGCAGTAGCAGACCCATTTTATAAATGCGGAAAAAATAAATAAAATATTGATCCAGGCAATTACTGCCTATACTCTTGTATCTTCTTTCTTGCAATCACAAAATGAGTTCTTCATCTCATTTGCTTATGGTGACGGTAGGCATAAATTACTAGAATTGACCAGTCTAAAATGAGTTCTGTGGAAGTCACTGTTCTGTGTAATTGCAGTGTTCAGTGTAATGATGCATTTGCTAGAAGTGCTTAGCTGAGACTTAGAGGAATAGTACCTCACAAAATGTCTATATAGTAACATTCAGAGGCATTTTTTCATCTTTTTTTGTAACAAAAATTGTCTTTACCTGAACAATAGCTTTTAAAATATGTTATCCTTATGTAAATGTATTATCCAATATATCATGTATATGTCTATGTCCTTTCCACTGCATAGTTATTTTCTTCTGAAGGGCCTGAGGTTTAGGCAGCCTTCCATCGTTTTCAGTGATAGGGCAAAACCATTTCCATTTTGATAAGGATTGTTATATGGAAAATAAAACATGCCATGTCTTTCACAGAACCTTTGTTATTGTTCTTTCTTGTTGGAACTGAAAAGAAATGTAACTTAATTGGTGTTCTGTGAATAGAAATTATACTTTATTAGGTGCTCTTCCATCAAACCAGGATTAAATTTTATTTCTTACTACTGAAGAAAAAAGCAATGGCACTTAATTTTGCATGGATTTGCATAAAATACATCCATGGGTTTGTGTAGAAAACTCCCACTATCATCAAGGTACATCAACAGGCTGTGTTGTTCAGGAGAGTTCCACAAAATTGGTTTGAACAGGAAGCAATATCTTTCCTTAGGATTTGAGCATTAGAAGGAGACAGAAGTTATATTTGATCAGAAATGGGGCTCAGACATTAAAACTGCCATGCGGATTCCTTGGAAAGTGTGGCCTGGAGGGTTATGGACAACATCCTCTCTGTGACTGTAAAGTAGCAGTTTCATGAGAGAATGTGTAAACAGAGGTAGCGGATATACCACCAACTGTAATAAAATCATAGAATCATAGCATGGTTTGGGTTGGAAGTGACCTTAAAGATCATCTGCTTACAACCCCACTGCCATAAACAGGGACACCTTCTACTAGAGCAGGTTGCTCAAAGCCCCATCCAACCTGTCCTTGAACACTGCCAGGGATGGGGCAGCCACAGCTTCTCTGGGCAACCTGTGCCAGGGCCTCACCACCATCACAGTAAAGAATTTCTTCCTTGTATCTAATCTTGTATCTGCCTTTTTTCAGTTTAATGCCAGCTCCCCTTGGCCTATCCCTACATGCCCTTGTAAAAAGGCCCCCTTTAGGTACTGGAAGTATGCTTTAAGGTCTCCTCTGAAACTCTCTCAGCCTGTCTTCATAGGAGAGGTGCTCCAACCCTCTGGGCATCTTTATGGCCTCCTCTGGATTTGACTGAGCAGGTCAACATTCCTCTTATGTTGGGGGCCCCAGAG